TCCCCTTACATGCTGAGTATAAAGTTCTGAAACTCAGGGTTCAGGGGGATTAACTGATTACAGCAAAAGCTATACCCACTGAACCTGGCTGCAGCCAAATAAACCTCCTTCCTGTTTCCTGTTTGGTATCCTGTCTCATCTGTCCCCTACTACAATACTGTATAGCATTACAATATGTATTAGCAAAAGAACTTAATGAAATTGTCCCAGGTAAGCATTTCTGAACAAGTCCTCACTGTGATTAACTTATTCTAATAAAAAGGGGTCAGGTTGTGTGGCTCAGTGGTAGAGCGCTTGCCTAGCATGTGTGAGGCACTGGGTTCCTTTCTCAGCACCACATATAAGTAAATAAATAAAGATCCATCAAAAACTAATAGAAATATTTGTTTTTAAAAAAGGAATATTCAACCTTTACAAAAATATAAAAGGCAGCTTATTAAAGTTACAACTTCTCTGAGCCTCACCTTCTCTCACTCCTTAATACTATTTTATCATCTTCAGGTATTATACAGAAAAATTTATTTTTGTCTGACTCTCCCAATCACCCTTGGTATACTGAGTATACCCCTGAGGCCCACTTTCTATAATCAGTAAAGAACCATTTCCACAATAACAAAGTCCACAAAAATTATAATTAGGACTTTTGTGTGTGTTTGTGTACTAAGGATCAAACCCAGGGCTTCTTGCATGCTATGCAAGCACTCTACCTTGAATTACATCCATCCCTAGACCAGGAAACGATCACAACAATGAAAAAAATATCATGATAATGAAGCCAGATTTAAAGTTATGTAGTCAGTGTAGTTAGGTAAATCAGGTCTAATATCGAGTGAAATCTAAAATGGAGGCCATGCTGACAATGATTCTGCAAACGCAGGACAACTCATGGAATGTTAATGAAGTCCCAGAAAAGCCCCTAGGCCCAAAGTCCATCCCAAAGGAATGTTAATGGAGCCCAAGAAACAGCCCCCAACAGATTTGTAGATAGCCCATCCCAAAGAAGTGTTAATGAAGTCCTTCCTGCCCAGATTACATGTTTGGCCCACCTGTGTCCCAACCCTTCGCCCCTACATTCCATCACTGAAAGAACTATAAAAAGGGGAGACAACAGCCCTTCCACATATTCCACCTCTTGGGTCCCCTTCTTCCTCCGGGAGAAGGAGAAGACTTTTCTGCTGTCCTTTAATAAACTTCTAATTTCTACTCTGACCTTGCCTTGGCATGCTTCTCTGGTGTTATTCTTCAACATTGGGGAAGCAAGGACTTGTCACCAGTCAACAGCGGTAACAATAATGCCAAGTAAAAAAGGTAGAATATAAAACTATGTAGTATGAATACAATATGTAAAATATGCATGAAAAGAGAATAGAAAAATAGTGTTAAAAATGTCAATTCTTAGCTGAAATTATTTCTACTTTTCTGACTCCCCCTCCCCCACCAAAATAGAAAAAAACACATTTCACTTGTAAGACCAAGAAAATATCACTAAGGCACCAAGGTCCACAATAGCAGGAATGCACTAAATAATTCCTAAGTTGATGCACTAAATAATTCTCAAGTGCCATCCTTAAATGGCCAAGTGAGAAACTAGAGAAAAAAGGATTTTTGTACTTCTTTTCACTCAGTGTTTAAGAAATAAAAGGATATGACAAATCATGGAAACATCTATGTTAGAACATTTTAAAATCATACAGAGAGTTAGATATACATTTTTTATGCTGTGTCACAATAATTTCTCAACAATCACCTCATCTCTTGGCTTACACTAAGAAGATTGTTAATAACCCATTAATGGGAATATATATTTATGGTTACCAGGGAAATACTTTCAAATGAGAAATTCAGAAAGCTCCATGTAATTGATTTAGTAATTGAACCTTAAAATAGTTATGAAATAATACCATTTTAATTAAGAAAATTAAGCCATTTGGCAAGGACTCAGCTGAATTACTAAACTGTCAAAAGTTAATACAACTAGAGATTAATTTATAAACTACTAGGTAAATTCTTTTTAAAAGGTAAGCACTAGCTATGCACAGTGGCACATGCCTATAATCCCAGGGCTTGGGAGGCCAAAGCAGGAGGATCACAAGTTCAAAGCCACCTCAGCAACAGTGAAGCACTAAGCAACTCAGGGGTACTTCAACCCCTGGTACCAAAAAAAAAAAAAAAAATTTTTTTTTTTTTTTACTCACTTTACAGAATTCACATTCACCTGGTGGGTCACAAAATCTGCAGGTATGTCAACATAACAAGCACCTGGACGACCGTAGATACTGCTTCTTACTGCCTATGTTTATCACAAGAAGAAGGTTTTTTTTAAAAAAAATCTCAATCCTTATTATCATATTTTACTTAAAGATAATTCATTTTATTTGTTTTACTTGAAGATAATTTAAAACTATAAAATAAATGCTATTTTAATTTTTCCAGACATCCTTAGTTGGAGGGAAAAAAAAACTCTAATTAAAATTGAAATGTTCCCCATTAAGTCTACATAATTCAGAAGATATTTCTTGTTTAAAAAAAGAGATTAGACGGAGGTGGTGGTACACAATGTTATCTCAGTGACTCAGGACGCTGAGGCAGAAGGATTACAAGTTCAAGGCCAGCCTGGGCAACTTGGTGAGACTCTGTCTCAAAACAAAAAATAAAAAGGGCTAGGGATGGGGGCTGGGATTGTGGCTCAGTGGTAGAGTGCTCGCCTACCATGTGTAAGACACTGGGTTCCATCCTCAGCACCACATAAAAATAAAGATATTGTGTCTACCTATAACTAAAAAATAAATATTAAAAAAAGGGGTAGAGATGTAGCTCCATGGTAGAACACCCCTAGATTCAGTCTCCAGTGCTGAAAAAAAGGGGATGGGGGAGACAAGAAAGAAAGTATTCACTTAGGGCTTTAAAATTCATGTTCTATTCCACTTTCAGAAATTATTCACTAGACTCTGCATGCCAAGTTTTGAAACTGTAATGTGTACTTTCACCTGCTTCTTAATCCTAATAATCTGGCAAAGTTTTCAGAAACTTTGTGATGTTGTAATATGTATAATATAATTTCTATAATTCGTGGTTTTGACATGGTTCAAATGTGTATATAATAAACGATGGATAGATAATATAGCTTATTAAAATTCATTTTATTAACCGAGAGAGTTTTTTTACACATTAGTCCCAATTTTCAAAAATAATCTTTGACAAAAGCAAGGAGTACCCAGGGGTTTGTTACACCTTTATATTTATTTATGCATAATTAAAAAGATAATTATAAAAAGTGAAGCACAGGAAAAAAATTTTTCAAAAATAACTTACTTCATCACCTCTATGTTTCTATAATTAAATGTAGTTATGGTGAACACTGAAATGTAAAAAGCTTTGTAACAAGGTCATTTTTACCAGTCTGGGTATACTCCTAATTATCATTCATTTTATTGAGAGTAAAAATAACAGTGCTAAAAGTGTAATTCAGTGTTAGAGCATGTGCTTAGCAAGTGTGAGGCCCTGGGTTTAATCCAAAGGAGAGAGCGTTATTAAATACTGTACCTTTTCAATAACAGTGGGAATAGCTTCTATGCTACTTGGCCGGACAGAGAACTTGCTATATAGTCTACAAGCTTCCACCTATATAGAAAATGAAAAATATCTAAACATTCAGCTCATAATCATATTACTCTTCTCAAGTAAGACAAAGTGTTAAGTTATTACTTTCTATTACATTTAGAAGATGAAGAAAATGCATTTTAAGACTATGTCCTAAAGGCCTATTCAAATCATAATCAAATTTCTAACAAGAGACCTTTTTTATTCTCAGACTGACAAAAATTAGTTTGATAATACCCACCCATCTACCACAGCACAGAAAACAGGCACTCTCATAACTTCTGGTAAGATAATACATAGAAAAGAAAGCTTACTAATGTCTACAAAAAAATTCAGCAACCATAACCTGAGCCTAGCAATTCCACAGCTAGGATTACACAACTTCATCTGTTACATCTTATCTATTTTTATGTTTCTGCCAGTTTCTCCTTTTATGTTTGTTGCTATGCTGTTTGGAACATGTGAATTCAGTAGTGATAAATTCTCACGTTTAATGTACCTTTAGCGTAATATATCAACTGTTTCTCCTGAGTTTCTGGTATGAAATCTATGAAAAACTTGGACACCTCAGTGTCATGGGCATGAAGGAGAGAATTAAGCTAATCCCTGGAATTTCTGTTTATGGTCATGTCTTTTCGTTTTAAGGACTTCTACAAAAAGAAGACACTTGGATTTTAAATCAGTGATCTTTCTCTTCAATTTTAAAATTTACTCTAATAAGCTGTTATTTGTTTTCTTATCAGGCAAAAAAATATTTGTGATGGTCAGTATTCTTTTTTTATTCTCAATGATTGTTTTTAGAGTAACCTTAATTTCCTTTTAATTAACTTATTTGCTCCATGTACTTTTTCAGATATATCAGCATCTTTTAAATAACTAATAATTATTATTATCTTTCTTTGGCAAGTAAAATTTCAAGTCCCTTTTAAGTGTATACTTAAATTTATATTAAACTATACCAAAGTATAGAATTTTGTATTAGTTCATCATTTATAAAATTCTATTTGGGATTGTGGGTGTAGTTCAGTGGTAAAGTTCTTGCCTAGCCTATGTGAGACTCTGGGTTTGATCTCTAGCACTGCAAGAAAATCTTTCTAAAAATTCTGTTTATAATTCTGTTCACAATTTGTTTTTAACTTTGCTCATTACTATAAATGCTCAAATATATTTATATTGTATCCATCATTCACTCTTATGTATTACTTTCTACAACTATTTTTAAAACTAATATTTTATTGAAAAAAATCTTAATTTTACTTTTGAAATACTCTCCTTCTTCCTTCTCTCTTCCTTCTAAAATAAATATAAATTTGTCCAGAGTCTTCTGATAATCACTTTAAATAGGAATTATCCTCTCAACTTTTTATTTCCATGAAGTTTAGGAAGCATAGTCCAAATTCATTTTTATTCCCATTTTTGACTCTTACAAGAACTTATTTTCAAAATTAAAAATCCTGTCAATTTTGGTATATTTCTTGAAAGCCTGATCTCAAAGCAGGAATAAGCCCTTTTTTTAATATTCCTCTAAGATTGTCTTGTTCAGAAAAATTACCTTAGGCACCTCTAATTTATGCCTTTTAAAATTTTTTATTTTGCAGACAGGAGTTCTTATATCTTGTCCATAATTCCTACAGTATATAACTGTGTTGTTAAAATATTAGATACCTGAGGAAACTCCTGGAAGGCTCCCATTGTTTCTTGATTTCTTTCAGAGGAACCACCAATCACAATCAATGGCCTGAAATAGTAATTTTTGAAAAAAGATAACTACAAATGAGACTATGTAAAACCCTCTACAGAGTGTTCAATGTATAACATTGCAATAATGCTAATGAGAAACAGAGAAACAGAACAGATTACATCCTCCCTTAGAAACTATAGGTTAAAAAATACTTAGAAGGCAAGGTGGTGAGAGTACCCTTCCTCAATTTCAGAAAAAGGTAACATTTATAGTAAATGTTTTTCCTTACTCCTGCCTCACCCCTACTGGATGCTGATGCTAGACTAACGGGTAGAAACATAAAATAAATTTTTATGCTCTTCTTCTTGTTCTTGGGATAGGGGAAAGAGAAATTCAACACTTTATTAGGTAAA